TTAGGGTACTATACTGGGAGTCCTGGTGTGGCGCTGTGGGTTAATGCGCCAGACTGCAAAGCCGTTTGAACTGCAAGGTTGGCGGTTCAAACTCACTAGCTGCTCCTCGGAAATGCTATACAGGGTTGCTATGGGTTGGAATCGACTCAACAGCAGTTCACCACCACAACAACAACTGATCAGATCTCCAGAATAGGGTTATAAATTATATAAAAAAAAGCATCAGATGACTTTGATTTCTTTTGTATCTTCTCTACTCTTCCTTGCACACATGTGACATTGAGTTAATAGTGTGAATTATAGAAATCGAGGAATGAAGCAAAATGAGAGGATACATATCTCAACTTTCCTGCCTGTGGCATGTCCTTGACAGGGGCTTGTCCCGACTCCATGGGCAGAGTAACTGTACCATGGAGCTTCTTTGACCATTTAAAAAAACCAAACCACAAACCTGTTGCAGTGGAATGGATTCTGACCCATAGTGACCCTATAAAACTGACCTGAACTGCTCCAGAGGGCTTCCAAAGCTTTACAGAAGCAGACTGCCACAGCTTTCTTTCATAGAACGACTGGTGGGTTTGAACCACTGACCTTTTGAGTAGCAGCTGAGCCCTTTAACCATTGTACTTATAATTCTCAGAGCTAGTCTTGATATCTCCCACAGAAGAAAAGCTCCATTTTCCTCATGATAGTCCTGAGGATACTTTTCCAGGAATCAACTATTCTTCATGGGATGTAGTTTCCAGTGTCTTCTACCTGCTTACTGGCCTCTAGCCTAGATCTTGTTTTATGATAGCCCTTATTTTAAAGATTAAATAAATAACACTCTTCCTTCTTGAAACCATTGTCATGATATATAAGGTATAGTTGTGGTTGTGTGCCATTGAGTCAGTTCCAGCACGTAGCGACCCTGAATAGGGTTTCTAAGGCTGTAGATCCTTATGGGAGCAGAAAGTCTTTTCTTTCTCCCATGGTGTGACTGATAGGTTTGAACTGCTGACCTTGCAGTTAGAAGCCCAACTTGTAACCTACTATGCTACCAGGGCTCCTTATATAAGGTCGAGATGTGCTTAATATAGTGATGGCTCAATAGGTGATTGTACCCATTGGGATCATTATCCAGAGTTCTGGTGTGACACTGTAGGACAGCTGGTTCAAACTTACCAGCCACTCCTTGGAAACCCTATACAGGGCCACTATAAGTCAGAACCAATTTGATAGCACTTAACAACAACAACATAATCATTATCCAGACTATATGATAGTAAGGTGACAGAGGTCAGTTTTCTCTAAATGCAAATTGGTGTTAAGTGCTTCTTCGCTGAGAGGCACCCCAGATTTGTTTTTATTGTTTGGTGCCATAAAGTTGATTTTGACTCAGATAATACTCCATGTGACAGGATAGTATGGCCATGTAGGGTTTTCTAGGTTGTAATCTTTATGAGTTCTGGTATGATGCTACAGGATGAGCACTGGATCGCAAGGTTGGTTTGAATGGAAAGGTTGGTGGTTCAAATTCACCAGCCATTCCTTGGAAACCCTATGAATAGGAACTGTCTTGACAGCACTTAACAACAGTCTTTATGAGAGCAGATAGCTAGGTCTTTTTTCCCCGTGGTGCCACTCACTGCTTGGATTTAAACCACCAACCAGAGCTTCTTAATGTTGGGAGTGAGTAAATCAATGTTGGTAACTAGCTACAAGTGGGTGAGAATGATGACTTGGAATCTATACAAGCCTGCTAATTTATTTCCCTTTTCCCAATACTTCTCTACCACGGTAATGGTTGCCAGAAATGCCACTGCTATTCATTAATTTTAGACCTCTGGATCTTATTAAAACACAAAGTTCCTTGCGTACACTTGAAGCTGTTCTTAATGAACAATATCAACAGTATCATATCCTTTATGGAAAGTCCATCTTGCTTGAGTTAAGAAAAACTTTCAGGCAAGAATGAGGGTGATGTATTCTGAGGACCAAGATTATTTATTTAGCCCAACCTAGATTCGGTTCTGGCTGTGAAAGTCCACATCACAGACATATCTTGATTTCAATTTGGGGTCTTCAGAGACATTCCTTGTGAGCTGTACAGGTCCCCAGAGACACTGTGACAGTTGCAAGTCAAACCTATGTGATTAGACCTGTGTCCCTTGGCAACCTAATACTACTCTTTGTCATTGTTATCCTGTTTGGCTGAATCACTCACAGTGATCTAATTCAGCTGAAAGGACTTTGTTTGAGGGCTGTTTGTCAGTGGGGCACAGTGGTTAGGATTAAAAATCTACTAGACTCAGGCTCACAGAAAGGAATAACAATCTCTAGAGCCCCTTTAGAAATGGCACAAAAATGGAATGGACAAAAATGAAAAGTAGTTAATGGATCCACAGTGATTTAATTCTCGGTGATATTTTCATTTTATGCAAATACAAAAAAATAATAACCCTGTCTATTTGAAATAAAAACAGGAAACAAAACAAAAAAATAGATTGGGTGTTTGATCAAGCAAAAATCCTTTCACACATCTTCCAAGAGAGTTAAAACAAATATAGATGTTAAATAAAAGGCCCAGGTACCAAACAGCAAAATTTAATGAAAGCCAGAACTGTTAAGTATGGATTCCTGTTGAGAAAAATGTCAATCTCTTTCAGAATTTCCCCATTGCTCAATTTTTAAGAAAAGTGTAGTAAAAATACATAATACAAGTTAACTTTTTTCTTGCTTTTGTTTTCCCCTTTACCCCTCCATTGATGAAAAGCATCTTCTACTGGAGTCTTGGACTCCCACATAGCATAGACCCTTATTTCTAGCAAAGGTGATCTCTCTTTGTTAGATCAATGTTAGGGTTGGGCTCAGTGGCTGGAGAGGCATCTTACCTGACCAAAGGCAAAAGGTCTGAAGCATACGGATGGTAGAGGGTTGTTTCCAACTCCTCCAAAATACAAACTCCCTAATGCTGGGGCATATCAGACTCTGCAGTGGGAGGCTAAGCATTGAACAAAATCTGTTGTTGGTGCAAGGATGGGGGTGGAGTGGGAGCATTAGCTAGTAATAGTGAAAGCGATAATCCGTTTTGAAGGTCCTGGTTTCTGTACCATGTCCACATTGACATATGAGAGATTGAACAACACTTGAGTTGACAAGGTGAAAAGTTTGATTTTGAGATGGTTATATGTTGGGGCTGATGGTAGGTGAATGGCAGAGACACAGAGATAATGGGTGTCCACTGAGAGAATCCACAGACAAAACCAGTCGTGTTGCACCTACTCCTAGGTAGGTTCCAAAACCTTTAGCTTGTCAATTGCTAATGATAACCTTAGCAGAGAGGACTGGTTAGAAATAGAGGGGAAGGAAAAAAGCCAGAATATGGTTATCAATAAAAGCTAGTGACACATGGCACGCACTGATTCATGCACCTAGGAGAGTGGCTGCTGGAGAGTTGGAAGCCAATTGCACCAAAAATTAGAGCTGGAATTTCTAAGAAAGCTGTATATACCACATGGCCTCCCCAACCATAGTTGCAGTCAGCCTGGCTTCTCTTTGTGAACTCTTGTCACTTATCCAATCTTGCTTTTGTTGGCTTTTCTAGACACAATTGTGGGAGTATTGATTCTGGTCACTAGAATACAATGTTCTCATTCTGTCTTGGCCAGGCTGAAGGTCAGTCTCCTTGGGTTAGAAGTTAGGGTCAGGAATTTCAAGGTCCCCCAATGTCGTCATTAACTTAATCCATATCCCTATTCACTTTCAAATGATCCCGCCTTAGGCATCTTGCTTTATAAAGGTGATCAGCTGTTATCTGGTCACATGCTAAAGTAACATCCTTTAATTTGACATAAAAAAATACGATGTCTGTATCAGCAAAACCCTAAGCTTTACATTTGGTCTCTCAAACCTAAGACAGGCATAAGATGGAAAGATCTATTGCTTGCGGACTTCCATTGAGGCTTCGTCTTCCCAAATTCTTTAAGCACCTTTCTTCTGCACTTATTACAGTATTGCCCCCTCGTCAGAGGTTCTGGAAAGAAATAAAGTCTATTCAATGTTGGGGTTCTCTGCTCAGATGTCAAGCAAAGGAAAAGCAAGAATCCTTGGCTCTACTTGATCCTGGAGGCCAACTGCCCTTCAACCAGCAGGTTCCTTTGGACCTCAGCATAGCAGAAATGCATACTATTTGGGGTTGAGGTTGCTGGTGAAGAGCCAGACTGCTCCACCTAAGGCCTTTGGAAGGCTCTTAACACATGAAAGGAAACTTTTCTGAGCCTCTGGCAGTAACATCAGGATTCCTCCTTTGACAGCATAGCTGCCCTTCCAGAATCCTCATTCTGGGCTGCTTTTTATAAGCAGTCTTAACTCAGTGTTTAGGCAGTACCCTGTCTGGGGACGGCAGCTCATTCTTCTAACAACAACGTCTGTTTCCATCCACGGCTTGGTGCTAAGGAGTTGGAGGGTAACTTGGAGAGCCCCCATGGCAGATTAGTTTGAAGTTTGCATTTTTTTCTTTTATTCACTTGTAAGGTGAATGGAATCTTGAATCTCAAACTTGAAAACGGAAGAAGGATGGGTATGGAGTTGGAGTAAGTTTAAGTAGAAATACAGGGCCTAAAAGAATCTGCAAACCATGGATATTAGTAAGAAAAAAAAAATATTGCACACACTAAGACACATTAACAACTGAATTTTAAAAAAGCAACAACAACAAAAAAAACACAGTACAGTTTCCTCATTAGTGTTCCAGTGGCTCCATTTTCAGAGACACAGACTCCATTAGACACGGCCACTCTCCTCTTATTGCAGTACAAAGTATTATTTCTCATTACTTAGCAAATGGAAAAGGGTGAAAGAACATCAAAAAAGGAAAAGGGACAGAAAAATGTGTGTGTTTTTAAATTTTTCGGGAAAATCGGTTGAATTGTCCTCCTTGTGATCGTGGTGGTTGGTGGCGGTTGTGTTTCATTTTGTTGTTGTTTTTGGCACTGAAGGGTTGGGATTGGATCAGGGGAGCTCCAGTTACAATCCCGTGGCTCCCAAGGGCATCCCTGAACTGTGGCTCATGCAGGGAATTGATTGCATGGACTTGGGGAAGTCGTGACTGACTACCCGGCCATTCTCGCCACTTCCGTTCCCGCTGGCTCCTGCCCCGCTGTTCCTGGGGAGTGTCGATGTCCGTATGGCTTCATTGATGGATTGCTGTGGGATCAAACAGAAACCCTTTTCAGGAGGACCAGGGGTTCTTCCCCGGGTCCTTGGCAATAGTTGGCAAGGAGAAGGAGTTAAAACTAAACATAAAATGTCTCCTCTAACTCTCCTCTCCACCCAACTCCATTCCTAATCTATATTGTTAATCTTGATTTCCCATGAACCTACAAAACTGTTACATGGCTCTAGACTACTTTGATTTCCTCTCTAGGCCTCAGGTTCTATCTCTTTACTGAGGTGTGCTATATTGTGTGATCTCTAAGATTCATTCTGGTTCTTTCATTCTGGGATTTCTAAAAATACAATAATTTCATACTATTGGTGATGATGTATGTATCAACATGACCAACTGGAAAAGCTCCTATGAATGGAATGTAGAAAACTTGGGTTCAATTTCTGGTTCGGATATTAATTGTGACCCTATATATAACTTCTTACCTTTCTAACACACACACACACACAAACAAAACAAACCAGATGACATAGTGTTGAATCCACTCTAATTCATGGTGATTCCATATATTTCAGAGTAGAATTTTGTTCTATATGGGTTCCAATGGCTGTGACCTTTCAGAAAGAGATCACCTGGCCTTTATTCTGAGGCATCTCTGGAGAGTTTCAAACCACCAACTTTTTAGTTAGCTACCAAGTGCTTTTGGCATACCCAGGGACTCTCCTTACTTCTCTGTTGTTATTGTAGGTCCCATTGAGTTGATTCTGACTCATAGGGACCCTGTATAAGATTTTAGATGCTATAAATCTTTATAGAGGCAGAAATTCTCATCATTTTATTGTGGAACAGCTGGTGTGTTTGAACTGCTAACCTTGTGATTATCAATCCAGAGCTTAACCTACCATCAGCACTCCTCTGTTGTTGTGTGCCACTGAGTCAGTTTTGACTCATAATGACACTGTATAGGGTTCCTGAGAGTGGCTGGTGGGTTTGAACCACCAACTTTGTTGTTAGGAGTCCAGTGCTTATCCTACAGTGCCATGCTAAGACTCCTCTCTAGACCTTCTTTAATTTCCACTTCTGTAAAATACTATGGTCTATGCATCTACAGAGTTTTATGAGCAAGAATTATACTTTGAAATTATTTTTCAAAAAATTTTCAATGCATAAAAGTGCTTTGAAAACATTTTTTTTTTTAATTGAGGGTATATTATCATCTGGCTAAATTAAAAATTACATTTGATTTACTTCAGGAAAAATGCTATCCTACCACCAGCAGCATGTGTTAAGGGCATGCAGGACTTATTTGAATATTAAAATGTGCAAATGTAATTGAAAAAGGGCATGTGCTAAAGAAAATGAGAATGCATTTTAAATATCATTACGTAGGAACCAACAGTTCCCATCATACAATTTGCCCTTCTGGATCACACATCAGATCAGAGCTACTAAGTCTCTAATTTCTAGAATGTTAGGATTCTAGAGCTGAAAGAGATTCGAACATTATCCCAGGATCAGATGAGTTAGTGGAACCTTCCAGAATATGAGCTGGAATTGTTGTTGTTGTTAAGTGCCGTTGAGTCAGGTCCGACCCATAGCGACCCTGTACAGGGTTTCCGAGGGTGTAAATCTTTACGGGAGTAGAAAGCCTCATCTTTCTCCCGCGGAGCAGCTGGTAGTTTCGAACCGCTGACCTTAAGGTTCGCAGCCCGATTCGTAACCACTACGCTACCAGAGCTCCTTGAGCTGGAATTAGAACTACATATTATTAGACAGGAGGAGAGCTTCTATTAAAAGTTCCTTTGCAGAAAGAAACTATATCACATGAAATCAACCCTCTTCTGTTCTTGTTCACGTATACCGTCTCATTAAAAGATTATCATGGAATTTTTGATATGAGGCTTAATGTAGACTAACCCCAAGAAAAGAGGTTTTTTTTTGTGTTTTTTGTGACAATCAACATAAAGGAAACACTATGTGGAGGACATAAGAACATAAAATGAGGCGTTTAGAGTTGCTCAGTCGAGACCTGGTGTGGCGCTGTGGTTAATGCGTTGGACTGAGAAGTCAGTTTCTACTGCAAGGTAGGCAGTTCAAACTCACCAGCTGCTCCTCAGAAACCCTACAAAGGGTCACTATGAGTTAGAACTGACTCAATGGCACGAAACAACAGCAGAGATCTGGTGTGGTACTGTAGAATAATGCTGGACTGTTAATCATAAAATCTGCAGTTCAAACCCACCAATTGTTCCTTGGAAGCTCTCTATTCAGGGTTGCTATGAATTGGAACAACAATAGCAACAATCCTCACAACTTTTTTTTTTTGGTGGGAGGGAGTGGTAAGTATGGACATTTCTACACATTAGCTTGAAATGTCTGTTCTCTATCATTTTTTCCCTCTGATACATTGTTGTTGTTGTTGTTAAGTGCCGTCTAGTGGTTCCAACTCATAGCTGATACATTAGTAGGTATTATGTATTGTACTGCAAACCACAAGGTCAGCAGTTAGAACATACTAGCTCCTCCACAGGAGAAAAAAGGGACTTTCTATTCTCCTAAAGATTTATAGTCTTGGAAACCATATATAGGGTTGCTGGGAACCAGAACCAACTCCATGGCACACAACCACCACTATCAAATTCTTTTAATGAAAAAAAAAGTCTAAAGTTCACACAAAGCACCGTGGGCTTCTCATATTTTCATCATATGTCATAGAAGTTACTGGTACTTTATGCATTTATCTTAAAGGAGAAAAAATAATGGTATAGTCAACACTGGTACTTTCCAAAGTCTGAGATAACTGGGTATGTAACTAAAAACCTCCAAAGCCACATCATTAGAATTGAGTTTCAGGGATGATGAGTGCTCTTTAGAGGTCAATGACTCCATCCCCCTATTGATACTTTCTGCTTACTGGCTTCCTTCCTAATGCTTTTATGGAATCCCAGGAGAAAGTTTGGAAAGGAAAGTTTTGCTTAAAATCAACTACAGTGAAAATTGTGAGAGCTGGAACTTGATGGCCTTGTTTTTCCAGGTCTCACAGTTTTCTGCCTTTGACCCTGTACAGCCTTACCATATATTTATCATTCAGTTTTTCAGAAAATATATTTTTATTTCTCTTACAGGTTCCTGTTTTCCACAGGCTCCTGCAGGTTTACTGTAGCTCACTAGTTCTCAAACTTGGCTACCTATTGGATTCACCTGGGGTGTTTTGTAACAAAAATACTGATGCATGAGTCCTACCTCCAGAGGCACTGATTTAATTGATCTGATATGTGGCCTGGATAGGTTGAAAAACTCTTTTCCGATTTAACCTATGTACTTTACAGGGAAACTGAGGATTTAAAACTGACTTGAGTAAGGGTATAGATGTATGTAACCTAGTGACAAAGTGGCATTACCCCTCTATCTAAGCCATCAGAAGCTGATGGTAAAGCAGATGTCGTTCCTCCTCTTGCCTTTGAGAAGTTTTCCATTGCCCACTTTTGACACTTCAGCCATTTTTAGAATTCATTCTTGTCATTGCTGTTATTGTTGTTTTAAAAGTGGACATTCAGGGAATGAGAGAAAAGTCCAACCCTAAACTGGTTCTTTAGAGAACCATTTTTCTAATGGTGATGACATCTCAAATTTGCAACCACTTGTCTTTTGCTGGGGGATGGCAGGACAGATAGGGGACTCTGCCCAGCCTCTGTGTGTCACAGAACACTCTGATGTGATCTCAAATCTCAGTAGTGACCTCATCCCTGCACATGTGCTAAGAACCATAGTGACCACCTGCTGCGGAGGATGTTCCCCCTGCGTATCCAGTCTCTCAGCTGCTTACTAATTCCAGGGAAATGTGCAAAGCTTCAATTGTTGTGGCTTAAATGCAGCCTCTGTTAACATAGCCACATATAATTATGAAAAGACAGTGTCTTTCCTGAGGGTGGGAGAGGCTAGGGATTATTTTCCTTTTGGAATAGGGTAGTGAATAATAGAGTCCCTTGTTTCTTAAACATCAGTTAAGGACTCAGGTTTCAATCTGTTTTTCCAGGCAGAGAGAGGGGCCAGCATATCTAAGAACTTACTGAATTTAGAATGTGTCTTGTTTTTCATACTATATGCCAATTTGACATAAGCAAATGTTAAGGGCTGCCTAAAGTACCCCTCTAACTCCCAGTTTTCCGGGCCTTCTCATTTCTGGGCAACAGTTTTTAGAATTTTGCGTTTCTGGCACTTGCAGATCCTTTGCTAGCAACTCTGGTTAATTTCTGTCCATGCGTCAAGCCAATTAAACATCACTTTCTCAGGGAAGTGACCCTTACCTCCCACATCTTTCCTGCCAGTTCCGGACAGGCCCTCTGCCCTACACTTGGCAGCAGCACTTATCTTTCTTCATAATATTCTTTGAACATGTACATATTGGTATATTTTTTATCTTCCTTATCAAACTTTCAGCTTCCTGAAAATAAAAACTGTGTCTATATCTCCAGTTTATCACCCAATGGTGCTCAGTGTGTCTTTGTGGAAAGAATCCCTCGAGTAGCCTTCACTGCCCCAGTGACACTTGCTATCTGTCTTGCTCGTGTGGCATGCCATAAAGGAAAGAGAACCAACAAGGCATAGCACACAAGAGGTGTAGGCAATGAATGGGTTGGTTCTCAAATCAGATCTGGAAAACCTAAAGCCAACAAATGTACCTTATTATCTTTGTCATCAGTCCTGTGGTCAGGCTTGAAGAATACATTGTTAAGTGCTCAAGAAGAGTTGCCTAAATTATGTGTTGCTGTGTGGTTGTCACAGGCAAAGAAATTTAGGAGAAACACTAACTAGTACCAAGGATTTTGTGGAGTCCATGTTTGAGGTCTAATGTCTGTTTCTCTAGCTTCTGGCTTAACAACATTGGGCAAGATATTTAATTTCTCTCAATCACTATTTCTTTATGGGCATGATTGAAAGAACACATTATAGGGCTAATGAAAATGTATATGAAAGCCCTTTGAACATAGGAGTTACTAGAAAAAGGTCTTTTCTTCTTCCCTTTTCTTTTCTTTCTCCTCCTCCTTGTTTCTCTTTCTTCTCTTGTTCTCTTGTGAGAAAGGGCTCTGTGGATAGTGTTCAGAGGCTGACCTTGAACTATGTTAGGGGTCAGAGCCTCAAGAGTTGACCAAATACCATGACCAAGGAAATAAATAAGAAGGAAGGTTCTAACCAAAGGCTCTCATCAGATCGCTGTAGGTTCTCTGCATGATGTTGAAGTCTGCACTTTTGGAGCTAATTCTCTTTGGAGAAGGCAAAACATTATAATAAAGAGAAAGAACTGCAAACTTGGAAAGTCTAAGAGACAAGGGGAATGGCTTCCTCTTATCTTTTTTGGATAAGTGGGGAGTTGATGAAGCTTTGGAAATTAAGGGATAGGTCGATTAATAAAGATAGTGGAAGTATCTATTCTGCAGCGGGAAGATTAAAAATTCTATTAGGAGCCTCAGTGAGTTGGGCAGAAGTCATGCCAACCAGTAGAATTAATTATAGTAGACTATGATAGAAGACCTTGAATTAATGATCTCAAGAGACCCTGATATTGGTATCTGAGAAATTTAATATAATTAAATATAGCTCCCTTTGTTGTAAAGGGAAGGATGAGAATGTCTCCAAGTGGTGACATCATGACTCAGCAGGTTTCTTGTCTTAATATGAATATTGCGACGTCAGTGGCGAAGGTCAACACTGGTCCAGTGTTAACAGGAGTCCAGTCTTTAGCCACCCTGATATCGCCATTTGGCACTGTTTATGATTAATGGGAATCATGAGAATATTATGGTAAGGACTAGGAGGCTGGTTGCATCATATTTTATAGCCACAGACAGTTGGACTAAAGTGGCTTTGAATGATACTGCTTGTAATTCCCAAGCTGGGTGATTTTGATGGTGGGGTTTTCTTAACCTGAGAGTAGCTCTCTCCCATGTTTCATTTTATCCTGCAAGAGAGTCTCTCCTCTGGTTACAATTCCACATTAATTTTATTAATGCATGTCAAATGTGTGGGGGAAGTCCAAGAAAGAAATCAGAATAGCTTCTTAACCTTGTGGAACTCACAATCTATATAGCTCAAGAAACCTAGCACATGTAAGTGGGGCTAATAAAAGGAAAGTCTTAAGGAGGATGCAGGTGACCACTAAATAATAATAATAATAGGAATAATACTAATAAATGCTGATCATCATTACTGATGTTGCTATTATTATTTACTGAGCTTATTATGGTCCTGGCATTCTATCAGTCCCTTCATATCTACTTATCTCATATAATCATCACAAGAATTATATGAGGTATGGTTTTCCACTGCGTTCATTTTACAGAAAGTGAAAATGAGGATCAGTGTTACTAAAACTTGTCCAAGATGATATAGTAAGTAAAGCAAACACGGTTGATGCTAGGGCAGCTGGGCTCTGGATCTTGTGCTCTAGACAATTGCCGTACACTGTCTCCTAGCGAAGCAGTGAGAGGGAGCACCTCTGATCTGCCCTGAGCCAGTCTTGGGACTCTGGTGTCCTCGCCCACTGTAAAGGTTGGCATGTCCAGCTTTTCTCTTGCCCCTTTCTTTTCCTCTGGAGTGACCTTGCCTTACTTAGGAAGAGTTAGATAAGAGAGTGTTTAGGCTTGAGATTTTAATGGAATAGACAAAGTAACCTTTGTTTAGGTATTAAGGGTTCTAGCAGTATCCAGTCAAGCTCTCTGGAGGTCTGCACTGAGTTTAAGGTCTAAGGCCCACACTTTTGCTATGCTTTGTCCTTGATGTAATCACACTTTCCAAGAGAACCTGTGTGGAGCTGGCCAAAGGTAGGACTGATACACTCTTCATTCACTTAATCAAACATCATTACATTATCATAACTTGGGGGTGGTTGTATGCCAATGAGTCGATTCCAACTCATAGTATATGGTTTCCTAGGCTGCAAATCTTTGCAGGAGCAGAAAGCCTCATCTTTCGCCCATGGAGTGACTGGTAGATTCAAACTGCTGACCTTGTGGTTAGCAGCTTAGTTCTTAATTGACTATGCTACCAATGCTTCTTCCATACCTTGATGATATTGTTGTTGTTGTTAAGTGCTGTTGAGTCGGTTCTGACTCATAGCAACCCTGTATAGGGTTTCCAAGGAGTGGCTGGTGAGCTTGAACCACTTACCTTGCAGCTCAAACCAACCCTTCAGTGGAGCACATTAACCTGCAGTGCCACACCAGTACTCCTTCCATACCTTGATAGGTCCTTGTGATTATATAATAGAGATGTAGCATTATTATAAAATGGGTTCTCTAGGACGTAAATCAGGATCAGGGTATTCTCTATTGAGGAGCAGCCTCCATAAAGGCATATGGGAATATAGTGTGGTATGAGTCTCGAGGCATGGAGTGTGTGAGAAGAGCATGTTGCTTGGGAGGATAAGGTAGGCTAGTGCCAGGATGTGAAAATTCTGAATGCCAGGACAGAAGGCCCACTGTTGTCCTTGTATATAGAATGAAATACAGTGTTTTAAAACAAGAGGAGCAAATGCCCACAGAGGTCTTATCCGTGGGTGACCTGGAGGTATTCATGATGCAATAGTGGGTAAGCTGAGCTGAGGAGAAGCTTCAAGCTGAAAAGTTTGTGTGTGTATGTGTGTGTGTGTGTGTGTGTGTATTTAGAGCAAATCCTGCCAATGGCTCATATCTAGTCAATCCAAGGTAATAGTCACCACACCACAACAAGATGTCATCCAAAGCGACTCTATACCGCTCCCCTTCTCTTGGTCTAAATGCCATTCATTCATCCTCTCAGATCCTGTGTCTTCCTGGAATCCCACTTCAGTTTCTTTCTCCTCTAAATTCCTACAGGTCTTCCTGTCTATACCACAGGTTGCTTCATTAAGTCATTTATCTCGACTCATTCTTTGTTGATGTCAAAGGTACTGAGGGTCACAGACTGCATCTCTCACCTCTCTGCCTCTCCCAAGATGCCTTGCTTATGGTACTGTTCATGTGGTTAACATCTCCATAAGTACTTTCTTAATGAGTTTAACAGGGTGAAATATGAAAGACATTGGGGAATCCCTGGGTGGTGTAATCAAAACCCAACTTGAGGCATCTAGAAAGAAAAGTCTGGTTGTATATTGTTGAAAATTAACTATTGAAAACCATTTGGATCATAGTTCTACTCTGACATACATGGAGTTACCATGAGTTGTAGTTGATTCATTGTCAATTTGGTTTGTTTTGTTTCATGATTTTTTTGAAGGTTATTTATTTTAAATGTCCTTGGGGTGCTTCAATTATATTGTTGCCTAGAGTTAATTTAGCTTCTACATGTATATCTCTAGCGATGGAGAGCTTGCTACCTATTAGGACAATAAGTGCAGCCAGCGTGCTCCTTAGAGGCCAAGATGGCCAAACTTCGTCTCTCATACTTTGGACATATTGTCAGGAAGGACCAGTCACTGGAGAAGGATATCATGTTTGGTACGGTGGAGGGTCAGAGAAAAACATGAAGACTCCCAGTGAGATGGTTTGGCAAAGTGGCAGCATCAATGGGATCAAACGTGGCAACAGTAATGAGGTTGGCTTAGGATCAGGCAGTGTTTCTTTCTGCTGTGCATACGTTCGCTCTGGGTCAGTACTGACTCGATGGCATCTAACAACAACAACAACATCCACCTCTGAGTAGCTCTGTTAGAAAAGTAGATCTTGTTTATTGTGCTAACATCTGCTCCTCATTGTTGTCAGTTATTAGTTCTTTGGGGCCCCACAGAACTAGTGTATCTTCTTCCCTCAGGAAAAGTCTTCATATTTATACAGACAGCTCTCATATCCTCCATGATTCTCTTCTCCAGAGTCCTTCAGCTATATTTTATGTGCTTTAGGTACTCTAATTAATCTGCTTGCCTTTTTCTGCACGTGTTCCTCTTTGCCAGTGTTCAACTTACAATGAATGCCATGGCTGAGAAAGAACCCGATTCACCAGGCATGTAAGATTAGCACAGAGTACAGGGTAGACACTCCCTCCCTTGTTTTAGGAGTTTACACATCTACTAAGGCAACCTGGAAGAGAATTTGCCCTATGTAGCACTGCTTTTATGTCAAGCTATGCTGACTGCCCACTCAGACACCTAACCATTACCTTAATATCCAATCTCTGGCTGGTGCAATTCTTTTCTTTGGCCTTATGTTTGGCTGACAAGTATCACCTTTCTCATTACTGCCTCTTTGTCACCTTCTTCCTAATAGTTTTTACTTCCTGACTTGGATTGACCTCAGCCTCCTGTCACTCCCCACTCTCTCTAGCAAAGGGGAATCCCCATGAAACCCAGTTGCATCACAGAACATGTTAGAAAAAAGGCCTGGGAAGACGATGCCACCTTCATCCGCTTGGATTCACTACGGGATTTGTAGCAGAACTCGATTAAGGCAACCAGCATGGCTAGTCCAAGTCCTCCGATCAGGATGTAGAATACCCCTGCCACATTACTGAGGCTCAGAGCGCTTGTCTTGTCCTAGGAAAGGAAGGAGGTGGGGGAGGGGGAAAAGAATAAAATGAGCCAAGAGGCTAAAGACTATGCAAGCAACAATATATTTTACACACATACACTCAAACCCATATCCCTCTTAACAGTTTTCTAAAAAGTAAGAAAGGTTTTTTTCTTCTTTGCCCAAGTGTAAAAAAACATTCCCTAAAGGGGGAAAGATGTGTGTGTGTGTGTGTGTGTATACTTGTAAGTATATACATATATATGTGTGTGTGTATGCATACATATACACAAATACATATCTAACAAAATTTTAAGCATCCTTGATTATGTTTAATTTAGAATAACATTTCCCTTCTTCCTAATGCCTTGTCTAGAGTGGGAGATGCCTCTCAAAAATTCAGTATGGTTTCTACCAACACCTACACCCTCAAGATTACCCCATTCCTTCAGAAATTCATTTCCCTTTTGTTTCACTCAGATCTACCCTCCCACTGCTCCTCGGCAGCACAGTGGCTTAACTCATTGCTTATGTCTCTGAGCATTTTTCTCAGAATTGGTACTTAAAATGAATTTTCCCCAGACGTGCATTTTCTCTCAATATAATAAGACAGTTACAAATATAATAAAGACCAACTGATATACACCTTTAACTTACTGCTTTGAGTCACAATTTAGAATTAAGAAAAAAAAAAAGAAAAGAAAAAGAAAACTAGGGGGCTTGAAATAGTAAAACGGCACTGAAATAGAAAAATGGCTCTATTAAATTCTAATAATTGTGTTTAATTGGTGTCATTTCATTTCTCTATTGGAAGTGCTTGGTAAAACACACGGGAGGTAGACCAGGTGGCTGAATTGAAAAAATCTCTGTTGCCTGCAGTGAAAGATCTTATATGATTTTGGGGGATGAATAAGGGACACAGAGCAGAGTACTTCATTCCTAGAGCCTGGAGGACAAATACCCATGCTCAAGAAAAGGTGGACAGATCATAAATCTGCTGAGACTATCCCTGAGTTCAGTCATGTCCAGTGGGGTTCAAAATACTGAGGGATAATCCCTTCCCAAGTGATAAGAACAATAACTGGTGGACATGGTGGGAGACGAGGGCTCAGAGAGAGAGGGCCAACTGCTCAATCAAATTCTTGACACAAGTGAGAAAATATCTTTAAAGCTTGGAAGCATATCATCCCCAGATGTCATAGTGTTTTTAACGCCTTTGTTTCTACTGCTTGCTCAGGTCAAACACGAATGTCATTGAATGAAAATGAAATGTATGCCTCAACTGGCACAGGTATGCAACATAGTTGGCTGGTGGATGGTACTGGATGGGATATGTCTTTTACAATTGTCTTACATGTTCTTGTTCAAGTAAAGATATAGGGGAGCTCCACAAGGGACAGCATGTGCTTCTGCAGGGACACCTCTGACATTTGCCTATTTGAAGCTGGCTGTGTGTAAATGGGGCTCTGATTGACCAAGTCAGTAGCCTCTGCCCTAGTTCTCCAGGTGCATTGTACAGGATTCAGCTGGGTTAAGCATGGGTTCTGCAGCTGGCAAATAGCAGCATGCCTCCCTACCCTAAGAAGCAGCCTTGGCGGGCACAACTGTAGGATTATCTAAAGCACACCCCCTTGGTGGCTTCCTGTATCACTGAAGCAGATGACTCTTAAATATGGGTTATGTTTGGCAAGACACAGTCTGGCTTTGGAAGCAGTGGAAATGGCTATATAGAGAGGTAGAATTTCTCCTGCTCTGGAATTATGGCCTGATGGAGAAACGTACAGAAATGAGTTTGATGCTTGGTTTAAAAGTTGATTAAGCAAGCAACTTCCCATCTGGCATGATAGGCAGAGCACTCAAAATGTCCCCTTGTTTTTTTTTTAGGGAATCTGAAATTCAGATTCAGGAGAATCATTTTTTATATTCCTTAGAAGACACAGTTATCAGACTTTATGGTTTATATTCTGCGTGGTATGGGTGAGGTGAGTGGGACATTGCACCCTATCAGTTTATACCTTAGCAAGGAGTGATTGACAGCAATACACCAAGGAAGGAACAGGACACAAACTTGAGGGAAGGTGGTAAGACAAGAAGGCTGGGAGATAAGGAACATGTCCTGTTAACACTATGAGCAATCAGTCTTTCAATAGCTGAAGTGCACCTTGCCTCCCTGGTCATCAAGCCTGCTTCATTCCTCATGGCTGCTTCCCAGGGCTCAGTGTGGATTGTCTTCAAGGGAACAGTGGGCATCTGTTTTCTGTTACTATCTCTAACAGACCCTACAAAGGCAGCCACCTCCTGAGCTGTAGACAGTGGTGGCTCCTTGGCCTTCTGATATGCCTGGATGGGGGATGGAAGATCTTATGGGAATGGGGACCATATGCTGTATAACTTCAGGATGAAGAGGACCCAGTGACTGAGCATCTGATTATGTCTGGAGGTGGAGAGCATCCACACTTCAGAAAGAGGTCTCTGGCCCATGGAGGTGGTGATGGGGATGCACATCCCCTGTAGCCAAAAAGCATTGGATGATTGCCAACTCTGCAGCAGAAAGTCCTTCATCTTTCCTTCTGCCAGCATGCTTCTGTAGTAGCAGGATTAGAAAAGTCCTCTGTAGTCAAGGGGTATCAGAACATTATCACTATCCATATCAGAAAGCAAACTTAGAAGTAGCACAACTGCCTAAATTTGAAATAATTTGATAGGGTGTGAAATGAAGGACTGGTGTTGGTGACTTTTGAGCACAGATAGCTGAGGAGTTTGTAATAAGGTAAAGGTTTTTGATTTGCTATATGTGTGCCATTAACTTTTTAATAGTACCATTTTTATAGGATTTTCGCTTTTTCTAAGGATTCCTGAGTCTACGGTCTTCTGTTTAGTTGCTCTTACTGACTCTTTATGATTTATGAAAGGGGACCCTGGGTTGGGGACAGAAATCCCTTTTACTTGAGGACAAGAGCTCTGATTCCTCCTCATAGAGTCCATACAAGAGGGGATTTCTTCTTAGGCTTGTGTGCAGGTATAGACTTGTTTGTGTGTAGATTTGTTCCCAGTTCAGAGGCAAGTCACACACTTGCCAGTTCTGACTTAAGAAAAGGGAGAGATGGAGTTTGAGGCTTCTGCACACCCCTCTGGGAAACCCCATTCTCCTCCAATCCCATAGCAGCTGTACTTCCAAAAAGCCAGGCAGCTTGTTAGTGGGAGTGAAAAAAGTCACTACTTGTCTCCTGCCAGGAGGGGAGAAGGAGAATGACAATATAGAGAAGAGTGACAGGTGAAAAGAAAAAGAAAAGTCCCACCTTTCAGAATTGTTGGGCTTGTTGCTATGGTGATAAAGCCCCCCTTAATCTGTTGTCTTAATTTGCCACCTCCCTTATATGGAAGGAAGATTTTCTTTTTTCATATTTCTTTTTTCCCCTTCCTACATATTGGGGTGGGGGGGTTGTCCCAGACTCTCTCTGAGCTCACACCCCTTCTAAGAATGTGGCACTGGCTCCATGAGGAGGTTTGAAGCAAGGCTGTGGCATACTTGATGCTTTTCTCATGGCAAAATCAGAAACCTCTGGAAGCTATGGCCATTGGCTATAAGTTCCATCCCTTTCACTGAGACTTGTGCTTCCTATCAGCTTGATAACTCTGGACCCAGTCTCAGATTTTAGGATTGTGTGTTTTTCCAACTCATCCCATTTCTTCTTCTTTTCCTGTAAGACTGTGAATTCCTAAGAAGCAAAGGTTGCCATTCCTGCCCTTCTACATCCCATGTCTTCTAGTAGGGCACATTAGTGGATGTGAGTACAACTGAGTTTTTAGGCATTGCCTGAAAGCCTTACAGCTGCCAATTCTGAGTCTTGACTGCCTTTCAGGACCATGTAGAAAAATTTAATCCTTTTTCTATGTATTGGCTTTTATTTTACACCAGAATTTCTCTTGTGCTTCTCCAAAACTTGTGTTTTTAACCTAAGAGTTATTTTCATCAGTGGTGGGCTATTTTCTAGGAGTGGAGAGTGAGTGGCTAGGCTCACTCACTAACTAACTAGGACCAAAGTGGGGAACCTATAGGCATGCAGATTTGATTAAATGGAAGAAAGCCCTTTCAAATAGAGCTGGATAGAGGTAAAATGCACCACCATGGAGCAGATGAGTTCCTCAACCAAGGGACTGTTTAGGAAGAAGTTAGAGATCATCAAAGAGATTCAAGCACTGAACAGAGGATTGGACCAAATATTCTTTGACTTTTGACCCTCATCTTAACCTCAAAAGATGTGAGGCATTTAAGGAGTCTCCAGAGGGCTTGGGATCTTGCCTTTTATAAATTCTCCCTGGAGACTAGCCCCTTTAGGGGATGCAAAAAAGGAACTCATGTTAATTGGCAACTTCTGCTGTTCCATTTCCAATCTAGGCCAGTTCCCTAGCCTGCATATTTTCCCCAAGAGCAGCACAGAATGAGAATTGGCCCATTGTACTAATAATTGGCAAGGCAAATACTGCAAAAGTGAGGGTTGTGGGGGTGGTTCTTCTAAGCAGTGTGTGCTCAGGGACCAGCTGCTGTACAATGCACCGCAGAACATCCTGACTCAAAACAAAATCACAGCAGAGAACTCAAGGAGACAATGTGGGTCGTGGAGGGGAAAGCACAGGCTGGCTAGGCATCTTCCAGGGTGGGAGAAATTTCCAGAAACAGGTGCCCCACTCTCGAAGTAAAGTGGCATCCTCCCAGGAGGGCTTCTCTGTGAGCTTAATAGCTGCCTGGACTGTTCATTGGCGATGAAGCTCTTGTGTGTCTGCTGTCCCCAGAAATGTTTCTGGTTCATGGCCCCAAAGGAAGAATTTTAAAGGAAAAAAGTCTTTAATGAAGTTCCTTGTCTACAGTCAGGGACAGGAGATTTATGATATGTGGTCTAGAGACTTTGGTCAGAGCTCAGGGTGTTTCAACCTTCCGTCCGTGATCTCGTGGTTGTTGTATGTTGGGCACGTCATACGAGGAGCTCCATCTTGATGCACATGTAAATTCCAGGAGTTCCCATTGAAGTCATTAATCCCCTCTAGGCCCTTGCTTGCCTTACAGAGGTCAGGAACGCCACTCTGGACAGGATTCTAGCAAGAGCCAGAAACTCCTTGGT